AAACCCACAAACCCACAAACCCACAAACCCACCCACACGACCGACACCGACAAAACCCACCCTAACACCCACAACCCACTCCACCCAAACACCTCAAACCTAAAACCGACGACACACCCTCAAACCGACACACCCTCAAACCGACACACCCTCAAACCGACACACCCTCAAACCGACACACCCTCAAACCGACACACCCTCAAACCGACACACCCTCAAACCGACACACTCTCAAACCGACACACCCTCAAACCGACACACCCTCAAACCGACACACTCTCAAACCGACACACCCTCAAACCGACACACCCTCAAACCGACACACCCTCAAACCGACACACCCTCAAACCGACACACCCTCAAACCGACACACCCTCGACACACCCTCAAACCGACACACCCTCAAACCCTCAAACCCTCAAACCCTCAAACCGACACACCCTCAAACCGACACACCCTCAAACCCTGAAACCCTCAAGCCCTGAAACCCTGTAAACCCCGAAGCCCCGAAGCCCCTAAACCCCTGGAAGCCCGAAATCATCCCTGAACATGGCAAACCAAAGCCCTAAATCATCCCTTAACCCCTAACAGCCCTAAACCCTAAACACGAGACCCTAAACCCTAAGCCCTAATCCCTAAACCCTAAACCCTAAACCCTAAACCCTAAACCCTAAACCCTAAACCCTAAACCCTAAACCCACATGGCCAACCGAGGTCAGTTGCAATGAGACCTCCCGTATGTTTGCGGAGGACTCCGAGGGGCCCCGGCCTAACGCGACTCAGCTTTGGGGTTTAGGGTTTAGGGTTAGGGTTGCATTTAGGGTTTAGGGTTTAGGGTTTAGGGTTTAGGGTTTAGGGTTTCGGTTTAGGTCTTAGGGTTTCGGGTTTAGGGCTTTCCTGCGACCCTCTTTACCTACAGTCTTCTGGGTTATACCTACTCATTAAGGGGTAGTTCCTACTAAGCTGTAGGCAAATAGAGTCCCAGGTAGGATTTGCATATTCATATGTTATTCATATTTTTGTTGTAGGGGGATCCGAGGTGACCTTCACCTGCGTTGGAGGCGATTGGGTGGGCGAGGGTGGGCCCTGGGAGCAGCTGGACAACCTCACATGCCAGGAGTGCATCCAGGCTTGGCGTCTCGAAATCCTAAACAAGAATCCTAAAACCCTAAACCCTAAACCCTAAATCCTAAATCCTAAACCCCAAACCCGAAACCCTAAACCCACACCCTACACCCTAAACCCTAAACCCTGCACCCTAAACCCTAAATTCAGCCCCTAACCCTAAACCTAAACACGATGGTTCTTGCGGACTGCAGGTGGGGACCCCAGATCTCCAGCGTCTCAGCAATGTCTCACTGGCAACGGTCTACTTCATGGAGCACCGTCAGGCAAGCCTTGCGACCCTCCCTAAAACCTAAACCCTAAACCCTGAATCCCTGCATTCTTGAACCCTAAACCCTAAACCCTAAACCCTAAACCCTAAAGCCTAAACCCTAAACCCTAAACCCTAAACCCTAAACCCTAAACCCTAAACCCCTAAACCCTAAACCCTAAACCCTAAACCCTAAACCCTAAACCCTAAACCCTAAACCCTAAACTCTAAACCCTAAACCCTAAACCCTAAACCAGGTGCAAGCCACCTACGGCTACGGCATCCCCGGCTGCCTCTCAGCCACCCAGCGCACCTCCGCGGCGCTGCTCTGGCGGCCTGCACTGGGCGGCGCAGTGGTCGGCTTGGACGTGGCGAAGGCCCTAGAGACCCCTAAGGCCCTGCCCCTAGAAGCCTTGTACTAGCCCTAAACCTAAACCTAAACCCTCAACCCTCAACCCTCAACCCTCAACCCTCAACCCTCAACCCTCAACCCTCAACCTTCAACCCTAAACCCTAAACCCTAAACCCTAAACCCTAAACCCAAACCCTAAACCCTATACCCTATACCCTATACCCTATACCCTATACCCTATACCCTAAACCCTGAACCCTAAACCCTAAACCCTAAACCCGAAATCCCTCACGCCCCTTGAGGACGGGAAGCTCGTCTTGTCACAGCACTTCTCCGCGACCTGGTGGGTGGACGCGGAGACGGGCCACTTTCAGTTGAGGCTTTGGCTTGCTACTAGGGTTTAGGGTTTAGGGTTTAGGGTTTAGGGTTTAGGGTTTAGGGTTTAGGGTATAGGGGTTTTTGGATTACAGGGTTAGTTGGGGATCAGGGGGTTTTTTCAGGATTTTAGGGAGTAGGGGGTGGGGTTTAGTGATTGGGATGCCTTTTTTCTTTGCTCTCAGGACCTCTAATAGGGGTTGCGGATTGAAGGTTGTAGGGAGTATGATTTTTCTTTAAAAAGGGGGGGGGGGTTCGGAGATTTAGGGCCAAATGATGCTGCCCAAAGCTGTCCTGTAGCTACGCAAGCTCGAAAGCCGAAGACCTAGAACCCTACAACCCTTTGAAGCCGAAACTCCCAAACCCTAAACCTGAAAGTGCCAGCAAGGAACTCTACCGGCCCCACCAGCAAGTGCATCTGCTTCGAGGATGGCAGCTTGCAATCCTGTGACCTGACCTGGCAAGGGGGTGTTGGGGAGGTCGTCCTTGAAGCTGCTGTGACTGCAGTTGAAGCTTACCCTAAACCCTACACCCTACACCCTAAACCCTAAACCCTAAACCCTAAACCCTAAACCCGTTCAGGGTTCAGAGCTTGGGAATCCTATGAGCCCAGTAAGTAGCCTTTAACCTGTTTTGTTCCCCCCCCAGAAAACTAAGATGAAGGCGTCAGGACTTAGACGCAAAGTTGTCCAGAGACATGAAGCACACAAAAAGGCACCACTCGTTGGGGTTTACGGTTTGGGTTTAGGGTTTAGGGTTTAGGGTTTAGGGTTTAGGGTTTAGGGTTTAGGGTTTAGGGTTTAGGGTTTAGGGTTTAGGGTTTAGGGTTTAGGGTTTAGGGTTTAGGGTTTAGGTTTTAGGGTTTAGGGTTTAGGGTTTAGGGTTTAGGGTTTACACCCGGACTGCGGCGCAGGTGACTGCAACAAGGACAACAAGTGGACGCTGGACAGAGCCTTGGAGACGAAATGAACCCTAAAAGGGTTTGTGGCTCATGTACCCTAGAAGGGGAAGTATAGTAGTATAGGTACCTTACTAGGAAGTATAGTAGTATAGGGTATATGACCCCAATTTTAGGGTTTCTTTAGTCTTCAAGGAAAGGGCCGTCTCACCAATCAAGCCTCACTGTGCGCCTCGGGCAGCGACGCCGGCGAGCTGACTGTGAGCGTCTGCCCTGCCCAGCCTGAAGACCGGCTCCCCGCTTGACATTTTTTTTTTTTTTTGGGGGGGGGGGGGGGGGGGGGGGGGGGGGGAGGGGGAATATCTAAACCCCTAAGCCTGGGCCCCTTGTAAAACCTGCACGGCTTGGTGAGGTTTATGCCGTTTAGGGTTTAGGGCTTGGGGTTTATCGGGCTTAGGGTTTGGTGGGTTTGTATCGGGTTCAGGGTTCTAGTGTTTATCGGCCCGCGCTGGAGGCCGGCCAGATGTGAGGGGGCACGGGGCGCTTGAGCACCCTTAGGCTCAAAATAGTCCCCAGATGGTGGTTTACGATATTTGGGGGCACCTTATTGGGGTCCTTCTTATCAGGGGGCTCCCACTTTTTGGGGGTTCTTTATTGGGGGTCCCCTATTGTCGTAAACCGCGGGCTCAAGGGTTTAGGAATTTCATCAGCTCGCGAGCGAAATATTGGGCCCTCCCCCGCTTGGGTGCCTGCGTGGGCTCAGGGTTCGGGGTTCAGGGTTTAGGGTTCAGGGTTTAGGGCTTAGGGTTTAGGTTTAGGGTTTAGGGTTGGTTTAGGGTTTCGGGTTGAGGGTTTAGGGTTTAGGGTTTTAGGGTTTAGGGTTTAGGGTTTAAGGGTTTAGGGTTTAGGGTTTAGGATTTATGGGACTTCTGTCGTAGGTTCCTCTGGTACTTCGACGGTGGGAATTGCGTCTTCGACATGGACATTGTCGACACAGCCGCCCTGACATGGAATGTTTCGGTTCCAGCACATGGGCAGGAGCTGCTGTTGACCAGAGTCGCTTAGTAGCTGAGTGAGTGCACTTTACACTTTTTTTGGGAGACTGTAGTCACCAAAAGAACTGCAGGTGTACACTGTTGGGGGGGCTTATGAAGTCAGCAATTTAGTTCACTAGGGATCCTGTTGGCACCCGTTTTTCGCTTTGGTTAGGGGTGGCCGGGCGGGGGGTGCGGAGGGAGGGAGGGAGGGGGGGGGTGTGTGAAGGGTTTGAGGGTTGGGTTTCCTTGCCATCCCACCTTACCCTAAATACCCACAAACCCCATCGCTTGGAGCTACTATGCAAGCCGAAGGAGCTGTGTATGTTGAGTGTGAGTTGCACCCAGCAGCCGGTGCTGTCACCAGCTGAGGACCTTTCCGATCAAGCCTATATTTTTGAGGTTTCTGGGACATCACCCCCCACCCCCGCTACTACTGGTTGGGACCTGCCTGGAACCGAACCTCCTGGATTCAGGACCCCCTCAGCCTTGGCCTCCACTCGTTTTTGGGGGCCCCCCCCCCCCCCCCCCCCTGAAATTTCGTACGGTGGAAGGCTTTGACCGAAAGCTGAGCGACAGACCTCCCCTTTGAGAGGCTGGGGATGGGAGGTGGGACCCGGTGGGAATATCGGGCATTAGCCCGAAACCCCAGACAGAAAAGCAGAAACAAGTTGCGTGGATGCCTGCGCAAGCAGGGGGTGGGGAAGAGTAAACCCACCCGCCCTTTCTGGTTGTGGGGCTCCAAGTTGAAATTGCGCCTCCGCAAGATAATTATGCCCCTCCCCCCTCACATCCCTGATTGTGTTGGGGTGCCATCTCTGCATGGAATCTGGCGAGAAGCCCAAACCGTAACCCCCAAGCCCTACACCCTAAACCCAAAACTCTAAGTCCTAAACCCTAAGCCCTGACCCTGAACCCCTGAACCCTGTAACGAAAAGGCCTTACTTAACACCCTGAATTGAGGTCATGGCCACCATCATACACAAGGATCCTGGGAATCGCAGCTACATCCAAAGCACCGAGGTTCCGGCGTATCGGTTGCAAGCGAATCCGGACGGCTCTGTGCAAGCCGCCCCTTGGGTGCTCAAGGAAGACCGAAGCAGCTTAGGGTTTAGGGTTTAGGTTTTAGGGTTTAGGGTTTAGGGTCTAGGTTTTAGGGTTTAGGGTTTAGGGTTTAGGGTTTAGGGTTTAGGGTTTATGCCCACCCAGAGTGGACCTTTGGTCCCAGCTAAATCCCATTGCAGGGTCCATCGGGTCCGCAAGGTAAGCTCCAGCAGCTTCACGTGGGTGATACACGAAGACCAGGGCAGAATTTCCGACTACGACGCGACACTTCCCGGGAGCACCGGGTACCTCTTGGGCCTGACTAATGGTAGCTTGGCTGTCCGGTGGCTCTTGGTAGCCGTGTGGCGCCCTTTGCTTTTTTTTGGGGGGGGGGGGGGGGGGGGGGGGGTTCTGGATTGCCTTATACAGTAGCCAGCCCAAACTAAGGGTGCCCTGACTGTAATATGGTTGTTGGGCTACCAGGAGTTTTTGGGGTGTAGGGTTTTCTGGGCGTAGGGTTCATGTTTGGTTTCTGATCAACCGTGAATGCTCCAATTCTGCGTCAACTAGCCCAAACACGAGTAAGCCCCTAGCACCTAGGCCTTTATGAACCCTAAACCCGAGACCCACAAACTCCAATACCCTTGAATTAAGGAATACTCCTCAAAGCAGAAGTTCCTTATGTGGTGTTAGGAATTTTTAGGGCTATTGGAGCCTCTGGGTAAGCCCTAAACCCTAAACCCTAAACCCTAAACCCTAAACCCTAAACCCTAAACCCTAGACCCTAGACCCTAAACCCTAAACCCTAAACCCTAAACCCTAAGCCCTAAACCCTAAACCCTAAACCCTAAACCCTAAACCCTAAGCCCTAAGCCCTAAGCCCTAAACCCTACACCCTAACCCCTAAACCCCTAGAAACCGAGGCAGTGTGCGCGTGGGGGAAGACCGGCCACAGGATCCAGCCGAAGTCGGATGGACGTGCGAGGGCGGCTTGAGCCTCGGCTGTTCTTGGTATTCCAGGGTTTAGGGTTTAGGGTTTAGGGTTTAGGGTTTAGGGCCACTTGTTCCCGGTATTCCCTCGGCCTACCTTTCTCTTTGCGTATTTGACTCTGGGAAGCCGTCATTTGCTTGTCGCCAAGACTTCCGCCCTACACTCCCGACCTGAGCCCCGTGGAATTTCTATTGCCCCTTCAACAGCAAAAGAGCAAACTCGCCCACCCGCCCCAAGACTTTCGCCCAAAACTCCGGACCCGATCCCTCTACAAGTTCTATAAACCCTAAACCCTAAACCCTAAACCCTAAACCCTAAACCCTAAACCCTAAACCCTAAACCCTAAACCCTAAACCCTAAACCCTAAAAGGCGCACGCGGGGCTTTGTTAGGGATTCTTTTGGCCTTCTGTTATGTACCGGGTGGCTATGGTGGGCGGCAGGTTTCTGAACCCTGAACCCTAAACCCTAAACCCTAAGCCCTAAGCCCTACACCCTAAACCCTAAACCCTAAACCCTACACCCTACACCCTAAACCCTAAACCCTAAACCCTAAACCCTAAACCCTAAACCCTAAACCCTTGGCCCTGAATGAGCCCTCAACAAAAAGCCAGCTCCCTCTATCCTGCACAGCTCACTTGTGGCGCGTGCCTGACTGTCCATGCGGAGGTTATCATGATTGTCACTATCACTTGTGTCCTTCTTCTTCTTCTTCGCCTTCCTAGTTTGGCTTTGTTGTTGTTTCCAGTGGGTGGGTAGGTGGTTGCAAAAAGGGAGGGCCAGTTTCTTGGGCCAGTTTCTTGGGTCAGTTTCTCGCTTCAAAGATCAGCCATAGGACCAAAGTTGATGCCGGAGATGTCTCGTGCATCACGGCAATCTACCACCCAGCTGCGGAGACCAAAGAGACGACCTACAGCAACTAGACCTTTTGGCATTTGACCCATACTTTTTGTTGGGTATTTCGGCCTTATTAGACCTAAGCAGAAGGGTTTCGTGTTTTCAAGTAACAATTCAGAGAAACTTTCCAGTCCCAGCCTAGGCAATGGAGAGGCCATGTACCTATTTAGCGACGTCGACTCCTCGGGTCATTTCACGAAGCTGTGGTGTGAGAATGGCTGCTTGTCTTCGTGGACTGTGTATACCCGGAGGTTCATGGTACTTATTGACCTGTATAGGGGTTTAGGGTTTAGGGTTTAGGGTTTAGGGTTTAGCAGGGTATTAACCAATTATAACTGCACTTATAACCCACTGACAAGCCTCTTAAGTGCCCTGATCTGGTTAGGCTTCTTGTCTTCATGGACTGCCTACACCTGGGTCTCGTCCGGTGGCCGGCGTACTGACGTCCGATGCATCTCCTGGCCAGAACTGCCTTGGCCGGCATGGCCAGAGTCTGCTGAGGCAGTTCCTTGCTCCACGTCACCCGTGTTTCTTTGTTATAGTTGGGTATAACACTTTACATTTTGAAGGGTACTTAAAAAACCCAAAATAGGAATATACACTTAAAATTTTAAGGGTACTTAAAACCCCAATAGGGAAATATACAAAGTTTCTAATGCTCTCCGAACCATGAACATCAGGTTTGAGCTCTCTTTCGAGGGCTTCGCAGACTACGAGATGACGTGCCTGCTGGGCGGCGACGACTTATGGTTCGGCCTGACAAACTTCACGGTCTGGATGTCGCAGGTTGGGGGTTTAGGGTTTAGGGTTTAGGGTTTAGGGTTTAGGGTATAGGGTTTAGGGTTTAGGGACGGTCTGGATGTCGCAGGTTGGCGGTGCCCCCTACAGGGTTCAGTATACCTGCTGTCCGGGGCCAGGGCGGCCAAATCTGTTCACCAAGTCACCCGGCCGTTCAGCAGTTTGCTTTCCTACTACTTTGCGACTTCTCCTCCGAGTAAACCCTAAACCCTAAACCCTAAAACCCGAATAGCCCTAAACCCTAAACCGCCTAAACCCTAAACCCTAAACCCTAAACCCTAAACCCTAAACCCTAAACCCTAAACCCTAAACCCTAAACCCCAAACCCTAAACCCTAAGCACCTTTTTCCCCAACTGAAGAGCCTAGGACAACGCCCGCCATCAACCAGTGGCATGACATCAACAAGGACGCTTGGCCTAGGCGTCGAATACAGGCGTGGAGACCCACCCGAAAGCCTGTTTAGGGTTTAGGGTTTAGGGTTTAGGGTTTAGGGTTTAGGGTTTAGGGTTTAGGGTGTAGGGTTTAGGGTTTAGGGTTTAGGGTTTAGGGTTTCGTTCCTTCCAAGAGCCTTCATAACCGGAAAGCCCTTCTGGAGCCTAGGACCTAGAGTGGGCTTTCTCGGTTTGGTGACCTTAGAACCCGAAACCCTAAACCCTAAACCCTAAACCCTCAACCCTCAACCCTCAACCCTCAACCCTCAACCCTCAACCCTCAACCCTCAACCCTCAACCCTCAACCCTCAACCCTCAACCCTAAACCCTAAACCGCACTGGTTTGGGCTTTGAACCCTAGACCTCTCCCCTTGACGCGGGCCGTCGCATGAGACTCTGCACTCGACAAAGAAGGCAAAAGGTTTAAGTTGAGGGCATTTAGGGTGTAGGGTTTCGGGTCTAGGGTTTCTAGGGTTTAGGGTTTAGAGTTTTTAGGGTTAGGGTTTAGAGTTCAGTTTAGGGAAACAGTTCATTGCAGCTAGGTCGTCAGAACCTCGCTGCCTGAAACTCAGAATCGGAGACCCTTCCTTCTATATCCTCAATTCTGAAGAAGTTCCCAAATACAATGCAGAACTCCTGCGACGCCAAACCCTCAGCCCCTGAAACCCCAAATCCCCAAACCCTAAACCCCTAAACCCTAAACCCTAAACCCGAAACCCCTAAACCCTAAACCTTAAACCCTAAACCCTTAAACCCTAAACCCTAAACCCGAAACCTTCATCCCTAGACCTCAGATCCCGAACCCTAAGCCCTAAGCCAGCGCCTAGAACCTAAGCCCGCCCTAAACCTCCCAAACCCGCTGGCCGCCCTAAACCCCAAACCCCAAACCCCAAACCCTAAACCCGAAGCCCTAAGCCCTAAACCCTAAACCCGAAACCCTAAGCCCTAAACCCTAAACCCGAAAGCCGAAACCCTAAACCCTAAACCCGAAACCCGAAACCCTAAGCACTAAACCCTAAACCCGAAACCCGAAACCCTAAACCCTAAACCCGAAACCCGAAACCCTAAGCCCTAAACCCTAAACCCGAAACCCTAAGCCCTAAACCCTAAACCCGAAACCCTAAACCCTAAACCCTAGACCCTAAACCCTAAACCCTAAACCCTGTGGACACCAAGGACCCCACCATGGGCGACTCGGGATGCCCTGAGGGCTATGCGCTTGGAGGCACGTTTCGGGTTTAGGGTTTAGGGTTTAGGGTTTGGTGTTTAGGTTTTGGGGTTTAGGGTTTGGGGTTTAGGGTTTAGGGTTTAGGATTTAGGGTGTAGGGTTTAGGGTTTAGGGTTTAGGGTTTAGGGTTTGGTGTTTAGGGTTTAGGGTTTGGGATTTAGGGTTCAGGGTTTGCGGAGGGTTTAGGGTTTGGGGTTTAGGGTTTGGAGTTTTGGGAAACCCAAATCCCTAAACCCCCAAGCACCAAACCCTAAACAGGGCCTCCCGTGCAGACCTAAGTAAGGACCTAAGTGCCTTGCTGGGGGTATTTGGTGTCAACCTATTCAGGGCTTAGGGTTGCTTAGGGTTTAGGGTTTCGGGTTTACGGTTTGGAGGGTGCTTGGGTCCAGGTAAGGTTTTGCAGTCAGGCTTTAAGGTTAGAGGGGTTTGGTGTGTGGCGGACTTAGGGTTTAGGGTTTAGGGTTTGGGGTTCAGAGGGATTTAGGAAGAATAGGGTTTAGGGTTTAGGGTTTAGGGTTTAGGGTTCTGGAATTAGATGGCGGTTTCGGGGATCTCGCGGGAGTTCTTGGTACTTGCTCCGCGAGGAATTGGTTGGAAGGCCAACACGGTCGATGAGCTCCTCCTGGGTGAATATAGCAGCATGTTGCTTTTGTGTCTCAAGGGACTAAAGGAATGACCCTTACAAGGGACCTTAGGGGTTCTTTGGGGGTTCTGTTGGGGCTACTTAGGTATACAGGAACTATATGAGTTATATGTATACATATGTATATATATATATATATATATAGGGAATATATACGTTATTGTTTTATGTATATATATATATATATAGGGACTATATAAGTTATACAATAGGGGGTTATCTAGGGGAATCAGAGTAAGGGTCCCGCTAGGGAGTCCCTCCTTATACCCCTTAGGTGTCGCATTTCCTTTGCTTTCTGTTGTCATGCTGGTGCCTGAAAGCCCTAAGCCCTGAACCCTAAACCCTGAACCCTGAACCCTCAACCCTAAACCCTAAACCCCAAACCTCATACCCTTAACCCTAAACCCGAAACCCTCCCGGAATCTCCGAACGAGGCCCACATCCTTCCAGCAGAGCTTCACGTGCTTCAGTTTCGGGGGAGTCTCTTTGCGTGATGAGGGGTGGCCCCCTTCGCACCTTGGCCACTGTTGGGACATTTCCCTAAACCCTAGCCCTAAACCCTGAACCCTAAACCCTAAACCCTAAGCCCTAAACCCTAAACCCGAAACTTTCAACCCTGAACCCTGAATCCTGAACCCTGAAACCCGAAACCCTAAACCCTAAACCCCAGCCCCGAAGCTCGGACGTGTTTTGCTTTTGGGCGCAGCTCCAGACCAAAAGCCCTGGTCCCCCAACCCCTCCCCTGCACCCGTCCTACCCCTACACAACCCACCCCACCACTCCACCCCCTAACTCACCACATCCACCACCCCCACCACCCCCGAAACCCTAAACCCCAAACCCTAAACCCCTAAACCCGAAACCCTGAACCCTAAACCCTAAACTGCAGCTTGCAGGTTTTTCGGGTTCCCACCCTATGAGCTCAACCTCGCCAGCTGCGAGTCGTATTCGATCACGTCTCGGTGGACCCTTCGACTCCGAGTTCGGTACCTTCTTCTTCTTCTTTTTTTAGGGTTTAGGGTTTAGGGTTTAGGATTTAGGGTTCTGAGGGGTAGGGTTTCGGCTTCTGTTGTAGGGTCCAGGATTCAAGATCAGGGGTTTAGGATTATTTAGGGTTTGAGGATTTGCTATCTTAGAGGTACCGTTGATCAGGGGAGTCATTGTAAAGTAAACGATTTGCAGTTTGGGGTAACTTAGCCCTACTCACACAGGGGTTATGTAGGGGTAACCCTAGACCCTAAACCCTAAACCCTACTCCCTAAACCCTAAACCCTAAACCCTAAACCCTAAACCCGAAACCCTAAACCCTAAACCCGAAACCCTAAACCCTAAACCCTAAACCCTAAACCCTAAACCCTAAACCCTAAACCCTAAACCCTAAACCCTAAACCCTACACACCAACCTTAAATCCTGAACCAACACTCCCTGAAGCCTCTGAGATCTGGGAGGCCGGGGCTTTAGGGCAAGGGCCTTAGGGATGCTGGTTTGGGTTTAGGGTTTAGGGTTTAGGGTTTAGGGTTTAGGGTTTAGGGTTCAGGGTTTAGGGTTTAGGGTTTAGGGTTTAGGGTTTAGGGTTTAGGGTTCAGGGTTCAGGGTTTAGGGTTTAGGGTTAAAAAATTTAGGGCTTAGGGTTTAGGGTTTAGGGCTTAGGGCTTAAGGCTTAAGGCTTAGGATTTAGGGTTTAAGGCTGTAGGCTTTAGGGTTTAGCATTTAGGGCTGACGGTCCTGAAGCCTACGGCTTGAACAAGTCGCCCCACCCAGGGTATCTTTTCAGATGCACTTAGGCCTTTGCTAAGGTGGTTTTTGGGGGCCTGGACCCCAAACACTGTTGTGGTAACTTATTCTGCATCCTACGGACCGTACGCAAAACGGGTGCCTGTGAAAACGGGGGGGGGGGTCCTTGGGAGAGGGATGGACGGGGTTCTGTACCGGCCTTTGTGGGCTTCTTACCTTCTAGGTGTGTGTGTGTGTGTGCGCATGAATATACAAATACAAGCATAAATATACATAGCACGAAAAACAGATATACACGCCCACTAAAACCCTAACCCCTCAACCTTCCACCCTGAATCCCAAACCCCGGCCACTCTGGCTGAACCGTGAACCGCTGCTTCCTCGCAGTTTTCCACGCTGGGCTCTGCCCGGAAAGCGAAGGAGAAGCAGGCGAACGCGCTGCTGGTCAATTGTTTTTGGCGTGTCCTCCATGCAGAAGGACCCAACGACCGGCAGCACCTCGATCAACTGGCGCCACGTGCCTGGCCACATCCACTACGACGGCGCCGGCTTCGTGCCACGCGAGGAGGAGCAGGAGAACAGCCAGGAGCGCAGCCTGGTGGACATCATGACACACAGTCTCTGTGGTGACGAGTGACGTCTTGGACAAGCTAAAAAAGCTGGCTTTCGTTGACTGCAGCGGCCTCACCGTCAAAGCCGTAGCCGAGGCGCTAAAGGAGCTCGGCTTTCCTGGCCTACGACGGGCGCATGCTTGGAAGGTGCCGCGTGGTTTCAAGCGCAAGGTCCCTCCGTGAAAAGAGCCGCGTGAAGCCTTAACACGCCTATATGATAGCAATATAGTGCGTATAAAGGGCCCAGATAAGTATATTTTCATAAGGCCCTTTCTTCGTTCATGCATTTCATGCGTTCATTCGTTCACATGTTCACTCACTTCCTTCTTGATTCTATCCACCTTGTGGAAAACCATGAAAAGGGCTATTAAATGCGCCTAGACTTACAAAATAAATTCGGAAAGCGCATTTAATGTCACGAACTAGAGAACGAAACCCATCAAGGCTGTCATCACCTTCAAGTCATAGAGAACCCCCATAATATAGGAAGTGAAGCGAATGAATAAAATGCACGAACGGTCTTCTTTCTCTCTTCTTTCTCTGCGCGCACTTTAAGTTATTCTTTTTTTAAGTGCAAAGAATGCATGAGTTTTCTAATGAAGTAGTAATGGCAGAACATACTGTGTGAATGTAATAATTCTAAACCAGTACGAATATGATCTTCTTTTCTAGTCTTTTAGCATTACTTTTTTTAAAGAGATTATAGCGGCTACAAAATGAAGAAGAAACAGCCTCTATAATCATGAATAAGAAGAGAGTGAACGAACTGAGATTTTGGTTTGCTTCTCACTTCATATTATTCATCAGGAATTACTAGAATGAAGATAGAATTAATGCAGGCCTTATTATCGTATCTTTACTACGGGCCCGTAATGCATGAATAATATGAATTCTATCTCACGGGCGTACCAGAGAATACGAATTACCGGGATAAAGAAGTGAAGGAAAAGACCAATCAAAAGGGTGATTCCGTGAGACAAATGAACGTAGCCAATCAATTCACGGTAACAAGCGCCCATGAGCACAAGAGTTTGATTTGATTGTTTGAGGGGTTCTTGTGGGTTTAGACCCTATAAACCCCTAAACCCTAAAACCAGTTTTTTGTTAGTGTAGGCTTTGGATGAGGGATCTGGGGTTTAGGGCCTTTGGGGTTTAGTGTGTGGCTCCCTAACTGGAATTGCCGGTCCGGGCTTAGGGTTTAGGGTTTAGGGCCCCGAATCCCGGAAAGGACTTGCCCTCAGTTGCCAAGCGGTGGCGGGGACCAACCTCCCTTCGAAGCCGACGCCTTTCCCCTGGGCGGCTCGGACTTGTTCGGCCCTGGGCCCTTGACAGAAAAGCAACCGTAAACCCGAAACCCGAATCCCTAAACCTTTAAACCCCCGACCCTAAACTCCACACCCTAAACCCTAAACCCTAACCCTAAACCCTAAACCTTGAACCCTAACCCTACACCCTAAACTCTAGCAGAATTGCGAGGTACGTGCCAGGCCGAGATATTCGTTGCCACCCCCGTCCCCCTGAAGTTCTCGCCGGAAACTGGGCTCCAGGTTTAGGGTTTAGGGTTTAGGGTTTAGGGTTTAGGGTTTAGGGTTGAGGGTTGAGGGTTGAGGGTTTAGGGTTATATAGGGTTGCAGAGGGTTATATAGGGTTATATAGGGTTATATAGGGTTATATAGGCTTATATAGGGTCATACAGGGTTATATAGGATTACATACGGTTATGCAGGCTTGTATGGGGTTATGTTCGGTCCCATGGGGTTTAGGGTTCAAGGTGATCGAAGGTTCAGGGTTCAGGGTTTAGGGATTGGGTTCCAGAAATTTATGGTTTCTTCTTGCTTACGCCTAGGCTTTTGTTTTTTTTTGCTGTTCGCCAAGGAAAACGAGGGGCGGTGCCTCAACTTGATCCAGGAGGAGTCCCAGCAAACCACGCAGCCCTAAACCTTACACCCTAAACCCACACCTTCGGCTGACACCCCTAAGCCCTGCTGGAAGCCCGGAACCCTAGACCCTGAACCCCCTGAATCCCCTAAACCCCTTAAACCCCCCAAACCCACTAAACCCCCTAAACCCCCTCAACCCCCTAAACCCCCGAAACCCCCTAAACCCCCTAAACCCCCCTAAACCCCCTAAACCCCCTAAACTCTGTGAGCCAAGAGCACGGCCCTGTGCTTTTGTAACCCCGAAACCCCTCTCACAATTCTATGTACCCCTAAGCCCCAAACCCTAAACCCTAAACCCTAAACCCTGAACCCTAAACCCGAAACCCTAATCCCGAAAACGCTTCAACCCTAAACCTTAGTACCTACACGCTGGAGAGGAGCCTGAGGCGGCTTTCGTGGACAGCGACGTGCAGTGGCGCTGCGAAACCAGCACCTCGGCCTGAGACCGTGTACCCTCAACCCGCAACCCTAAACCCTAAACCCTAAACCCTAAACCCTCTACCCTCTACCCACTAAACCCTAAACCCGAAACCCTAAAACCTAAACCCTAAGCCCTAAACCCCAAACCCTTGACCCCAAACCCTGTTGGTTGAGCTTTTTGGCTAAATCAAGCCCTCCATCAAGCCTTTTTTAGGTTTAGGTTTTGTGGTTTAGGGTTTAGGGAAACTAAAACCTCCAACCTCCCTGAATCCCCAGTGCCGACCCCTCACCTGCAGAGTGCAATGGCCCCTAAGACACAAACCCTCGAAACCCAAAGCCTTGAACCCTAAAGCCTAAATCCTAAGCCTTGAACCCTAAATCGTACACCCAAAACCCGAAACCCGAAACCCTAAACCCTAAACCCCGAACCCTAAACCCTAAGCCCTAAAGCCGGCACCGAGGTATCCAGTGCTTCGGGTACAACATCACGGGTAGCTCAACATCGGGGGCGGGCTCCCTGTTTCTGGAGCCGGTGCCTAGGATGCTCATTCTTAGGGTTTAGGGTTTAGGGTTTAGGGTTCAGGGTTTAGTGTTTAGGTTTAGGGTTTAGGGTTTCGGGTTTCGGGTTTCGGGTTATCGTTGTGTTTTTCTCTGGAGGTGGGGGGTGTCGAGGCTTCACGGTGTGGGTCTTGTGTTTTAGGGTCTAAATTCAAAGCTTTCAGCCCTCAAGCCCGAAGCCTAAACCGTAAACAAAAACCCTAAAACCCACCCTAGCACCCCAAGCCCTAAAACTCTCAACCCCAAATCCCTAAACCTGAAACCCTAACACCCCTAACCCCTAAACCCTAAAACCCTAAAACCCTGAAGCCCGAAACCCTAAACCCTAAAACCTTGGAACCCTGAAGCGCTCTGTTGTTGCCGTTGCGAGAAACGCAGGTGAAGGCTTTCGGAAGCAGTGGCAACTGCCATGTGAAGGACACGTGACCAAAAAGCAGTGTTTCTTTGTGTTTGGGTTTAGGGTTTAGGGTTTAGGGTTAGGGTTTAGGGTTTAGGGTTTAGGGTTTAGGGTTTAGGGTTTTGGGTTTTGGGTTTTGGGTTTTGGGTTTGGGATCTGGGGTTGGGGATTGGGTTCCCTCAAGGGCTTGAGGCTTTAGGGTTTAAGGGTTCAGGGCTTAGGGTGCTTAGGGTGCCGCTCTCCCCCCGCCCCCCCACCCCCCCCCTTCGGCCCAAAAAGCAATAGACCTGGCAACCCTGCTCACACTGTCAACCCTACTCTTTTTGTGCCGCAGTCCCGGCAAGTCCTTGGAAATTAGCACCGGGAGCCCTAAACCCTACTCGCCCAAAACAAACACAAGTCCTCAAACCCTATGTAGCCTAACCGCCCAAGAGCCCTGAGTCTAAGAGCTCCAACAACCCCAAACTCTGAACCCCAAGAACCCGAAACTCCAATCCCGAGTGCCCCCCAAGAACCCAAAACGCACCAGAAGCACTAGGAAATCAGCATCGAAAGCCCTGGACCCTAAACCCTAGAACCCTAACACCCTAGAACCCTAAACGCCTAGAACTCTAAACCCTAAGTCCTAAAACCCGAAAACCCTAACACCCTAAAACCCTACAACTCTAGAGCCCTAAGCCCTAAACCCTAGACCCTAAACCTAAACCCTAAACCCTAAACCCTAAACCCTAAACCCTAAACCCTAAACCCTAAACCCTAAACCCTAAACCCTAAGCCCTAAGCCCTAAGCCCTAAGCCCCAAACCCGACAGAGCCCAGGAAATCAGCACCTGGTCCCCGGACGCCGAGTCGTCGACTCTGAGTCTAGAGGTCCAAGACCTGGACAGCACCCAGGATCCCTTTTGGCGCATGTTTTCAAGCCTCCTAAACCCTAGACCCTAAACCCTAAACCCTAAACCCTAAACCCTAAACCCGAAACCCTAAACCCTAAACCCTGAACCCTAAACCCTAAACCCTAGTTTCTCCAGATGTGTAGATGTCACATGAGTTGTGAGTCTATGAGGTTTAGTGGATTTTGGGGGTGGCGAGGTTTGGGTTAACCAAGGGCTAGCAGGAGGGGCTCTGCGCATATTCCTTGCACTGTTTAGGGTTCAGGGTTTAGGCTGTCAAGGGTTGAGGATTTTTAGAAAAAGGGCCCCTCCTTTTAAAGTTCCTGTGGTGTGTAGGCTTTGTAGGGTCTAGGGAACCAAGGCACCAACACGGACCCGAGCCTCCGAAGCGCGTACAACTGGACGAGCGCCATCCGTGTGGTCAGCAGCGCGGGGGCCTCAGCGGAGGGGAATTGGGGGTTTTGGGGGCTTTGGGGGCCCTCAACCCGAAACCCACAGCTCGATACCGTACACCCTAAACCCTAAGCCCGAAATTCGAACCCGAAGCCCTAGATCCTAAACCCTAAACCCTAAACCCTAAACCTGAAACCTAAAACCTAAGCCCTAAGCCCTAAACCCTAAGCCCTAAACCCTAAAACCTAAACCCAGGCTGGCGGCGCGCAGCTTTTCACCTGCCTGCCCAACAAGATCGCCCCCGAGGCGCGGAACTCAGGATTTGGATGGGTTTATATGGGGCATTTGGGGGGTTTAGGGTTTAGGGTTTAGGGTTTAGGGTTTAGGGTTTAGGGTTTAGGGTTTAGGGTTTAGTGGTTTTGGGGCTTTTGGGGTCTTTTGGGGCTCTAGGGCCTGTTTAGGGCAACTTTAGGGAGGGGATTTGGGGGCTTTTCAGGAGGCTTTTCGGGCTTTCGGGACTCTAGGCGCTTTTGGGGCCTTTAGGGGCCTTTAGGCGGAGGGCTTTGGGGGCTTTAGGGGCTTTATGGGGCTTTAGGGGCTTCAGGGGCTTTAGGGGCTTTAGGGGCTTTAGGGGCTTTAGGGGCTTTAGGGGCTCTAGGGGCTCTTGGGGGCTCTAGGGGCACTCCAGGGGCTCTAGGGCTTTGGGGGCTTTAGGGGAAGAGAATATCGGGGACGCTGGTTCTCCAATTCCCGAGGCGCCCCCGGCCGCCCCTCTCTCCGTGCTCTGCGCCTCCAACGTGGCCGTGAAGCTGAGCGACTGGGATCCTCCAGTGCTGGGGTTTAGGGTTTAGGGTTTGGGGTTTAGGGTTTGGGGTTTAGGGTTTAGGGTTTAGGGTTTAGGGTTTAGGGTTTAGGTGTAGGGTTTGAGGTTCAGGAGTTTAGGGCTTAGGGCGTTTTGGGGTTTTAGGGTTTAAAAGTTTTAGGCTCGCAAGGCTTTTAGGGTTTAGTGGTTGGTTTTAGGGTTTTAGGCCGTATTGTCTCGAGGTTCAAGGGCTTCCGGCCGGTTCATTTGGGTTTGGGGTTTCGGGGCCACCTAACCTAGTGTTTCCCAGTATGCCCAAATGGATCCTGGAATTTGAAAAGCCTCGGTTGCCGGGGAAAAGCCCTAAACCCTAAACCCTAAACCCTAAACCCTAAACCCTAAACCCTAAACCCTAAACCCTAAACCCGGAACCCGTGTTTTTGTTTTTGTTGTGGGTGCTTTTTTGCTGTGGGTGCTTTTTTCGGGGGCCGCCCCGGTGAGTGAGTGACCTGGTGCGTGTCGCCCCCGCACCCGCAGCAAAAAAAAAAAGCGCCCCCGCCCCGCAAAAAAAAAACCGCGCACCCCCGCACCCGCAGCAAGAAAAAAACGCGCCCCCCCCCCCCCCCCTCGCCCCCCCCCCCCCCCCCCCCCCCTCCTCCCCACCCCCCCAGTGAGTGAGTGACCTGGCGCGTGTCGCCCCGCACCCGCAGCAAAAGAAAAAAACGCGCCCCCGCACCCGCAGCAAAAAAAAACGCGCACCTGCAGCAAAAAAAACGCCCCCCCCCCCCCCCCCCCCTTCCTCCCCACCCCCCAGGTCATTTGTTTTGCAATTTCCTCCCCAACCCCGTCCCCAACGCCCCCCCTCCTTTAAACTGTGCAAGCGTTCAGTGCGCAAACGGTGGAGGGAGGGCTGCACCCCGCCCGACCCCCCCCCCCTCTTTAAATCGTGCCAGGTCGCTTCTCAGCATATGAATCCTGTCCAAGCCTATCATGCCAGCATTGGGTTTGCAAATAGAGGGGGGCTGCGCCCCCCCCAACCCCCCCCGCTTCTTAAAGCCATGCCGCTTGCTTCAAAGCAAATGAATCCTTTCGGAACCCATCATGAGAGCATTCCCCCCCGCTTGAAAGGGGGGGAGGGTGGGGCTGCGCTTTTTAGCCGGGCAAACTTGCTTCAATCATACGAATCCCTTCCAAACCCATGATGATGCGAGCATTGTGTTTGCAAATGGAGGGGGCTGCGCCCCCCCCAACCCCCCCGCTTTTTTTTAGCCGCCAAGCCTGCTTCAAAGCTTACGAATCCCTTCCAAACCCATGATGCGAGCATTGTGTTTTCAAATGCGGCGGTCTGCGCAGCCCCCAACCCCCTGAAGAAAGAGGGAAGATATGCTTGCTTTCCTACGAAAATTCAGACCTTATGGTGGAAGTTGAGTTTTCCATTTAAAAATAGAGATATAAACGTCTTCTTAGTAAAGAATCGAGAAAATAGAGCTTGTGTTATGAGACATGAACAAAAACACTTGTTGTCTACGAGTCACAAATAGAGATAATGCATGTACTCTTATGACAATATCGAGAATTAGCTTTTCATGTATTCCTCTCTCATGTCTTCCTCGTGAAATAAAGAGAAGAAGTCTGAAAATACTGACAACATAAGAAACTATAGAACAATCGAGGTTTTCGCTATACAATATAGAGAAATTAGATGCTTCCTATGACAATATAGAGGAAATAGAGGCTTTCATACGAAAATATGGCGAAAATACAAAGTGTTTTCATATTAAAATGTAGAGGTCTTGATATTGAAATATAGAGAATAGAGGTTTTCATGTTCAAATGTTAAGACAATGGAGGTTTGCCCATTCAGAGACAGAGAAAATAATGGGCTTCCTATTAAAATTAGGACAAGAGGAACAAAAACACTTTTAATTGCAAGTCACATATTGAGATAACGCAGAGAACAAGTTTCTCATGTATTCCTCTCTCATGTCTTCCTCATTGATAAAAAGAGGAAATCTATGACGATATAGACAAAAAAAGAGAGAAATAGAGGTTTTAATTATAAAACAGAGAGAAATAGAGGTTTTCGAATTGAAGTATAGAGAAATTAGAAAAACTAGAGGTTTTCATGCTAAATGTAGAGAAAATAGAGGTTTTCATATTCAAATATAGAGAAGAAAGAGGTTTTCCTATTCAAATATAGAGGAGAAAGAGGTTTTCCTATTGAAAATTAGAGAAAATAAAGGTTTTCATAGTAAAATATGGAGAAAACAGCAAAAACGCTCCGCACCTGCAGCAAAAAAAAAGGCGCCCCCACGGCACCCGCAACAGAAAAAAAAACGCGCCCCCGCACCCGCAGCAAAAAAGAAAACGCGCCCCCCGCACCCGCAAAAAAAAAAAAACGCGCCCCCGCACCCGCAGCAAAAAAAAAAAACGCGCCCCCGCACCCACAGCAAAAAAGCACCCGCAAAAAAAAACACTCTTACCAACCCTAAACCCTAAACCTTAAACCCTAAACCCTATACCCTAAACCCTAAACCGAGGCGACTTGCTGCCGGCACAGGGAATCTACGCGGGAAGCAGCGCGGAGGCCACGACTCTGGTCTCCTAAGAGCCAGAGAACCCTAAGTCCTGAGTAAGAGGCGTTTTTTCACTCCAAAGGGTTTAGGGCTTAGGGTTTAGGGTTTAGGGTTTAGGGTTTAGGGTTTAGGGTTTAGGGTTTAGGGTTTAGGGCTAGGGCTATCCTAAACTTCTTATGGGCTGTGTGGGGGGCTACAGCCCTTGACGCACGCAGGCCTTGAATACGACGATCCTGCCATCCTGTCCCTTGGTTGCTTTCAATTGCTGTTGCTTTTTGTAGGGAGTTCGGAAAGCCAGCTACTTTATATCCCTCCATATATCCTTCTTAGGAATTGTGTCCTAGTTCCCTGATTCCCTGTTAGGAGCTTGTAAGGTTAAGGCGGAACTTGCGTTCAGTGACCCTTTTTAAGTACAGATCTCTCTGTGTCTCTCTCTTTCTCTCTCTCTCTCTCTCTTTCTCGCTCTCTCTCTCAGTCTTTCTTGCCTTTCTCTTTATTAGTAACATATAAGCCTTATACGTAAACCCTAATGGCCCAGATGGCCAAAAACCCATCATGGCAGCGAACAGAAATCGAAGTTCCTTCCCCGTCAACCCTCAGGTGTGGCCTTGGTGCCGCCCAAGGGCGCGAGCGCGGCGGCCGCGAGCATGACCGGCACCACGCTGATGGCGCTGCTGCGAAGTCAGAAGTTCTTCAGCACCTTGGAACCCTAAACCCTAAACCCTAAACCGTAAACCCTAAACCCTAAACCCTAAACCCTAAACCCTAAACCCTAAACCCTAAACCCTAAACCCTAAACCCTAAACCCTAAACCCTAAACCCTAAACCCTTGGGGCAGCAGAGTAAGAAGTTGCCGAGGTGTGCTTGGATGGGGTGTGTATGCTAGAACCGAAACCCTACACCCTAAACCCTAAGCTCTAAACCCGAAGTCCTGAACCCTAAACCTTAAACCCTAAACCCTAAACCCTAAACCCTAAACCCTAAACCCTAAACCCTAAACCCCTCGGTCGTCCGACTCTCACCCTTCCATGGTTCTGTTTTAAAGCTCCCCCCCCGCCCCAAGGCACGCCCTATGGCAGCCCGAGCGCGCCACCGTTCAATGACACCACCAGCCTCGGCACCCCGTGGACCCTGGGCTTCTTGGGCAGCACTTATGGAGGGTTTAGGGTTTAGGGTTTAGGGTTTAGGGTTTAGGGTTTAGGGTTTAGGGTTTAGGGTTTAGGGTCCAGGGCTGTAGGGTTCAGGGTTTAGGGCTTAGCTGGCTTTGATGATAGGGTTTATAGGGTGTATAGGGTTTAGGGTTCAGTGGAAATTCAGGGTTAGGGTGTAGGGTTTATAGGGTATAGGGTGTAGGACTTAGGGTTTAGGGTTGAGGGTTTAGGGTTTAGGATTTAGGGTTTAGGGCTTCGTCTGGGTAGAATTTATGGAGCCGTTTCTATGGGAACGTTTTGGGGTTTAAGGACGTCTGCTGCCCCTATGGAAACTGAAGCTGAATTGCCATGATAAGGTTTGGGGCTTGGGGTTGCGGGTTCAGGGTTTAGGTACAGGGTTCATATTGTACTTGCCACCCTGCTATGGCAACTTAACTAGAGTTCCGAAGCCCTTACCCTAAACCCTGAACCCTAAGCCCTAAACCCTAAACCCTAAACCCTGAACCCTGAACCCTGAACCCAGAGCCCAGCAACGAAGGCTTCGCTAGCTTGACGGCCGGTGGCCGGATCATGTGGGGGCTGAGCTGCCCTGATGGGGCCATTGTTGCCAGCAATCCCAGGACTTTCCATTTTCAAACTTTTGGGGATATGTTTGGGGTTTAGGGTTTATAGGGCTTAGGATGGGTTCACTCGCAAAGCATGAGGTTTAGGGTTCAGGGTTTAGGGGCTAGGCCTGAGGCAGAGCGGCTATGTTGTACGACAGCAGCCTAAACGTTTTCCCACATTATCCCCACACATTCCCCGTATAGCTTCAAGACTAGATACCCAGCAGACACAGTCTCCCTAAACCCTAAACCCTAAACCCTTAACCCTAAACCCTAAGCCCTAACCCCTAAACCCTAAACCCTAAACCCTAAACCCCAAACCCTAAACCCTAAACCCTAAACCCTAAACCCTAAACCCCTCAACAGGACATTCCCTCATTGCCTCCAAGTGGGCGCTGGCGCCGAGACGGTGCACGAAGTGCTCTCGGGCTCAGCGATGTGCCCGCCGGGCAGCGCCGTGAGTGGCTGGCAGCTTGGGCTCAAGTTGCGCCCCAAAATTTCCCTAAAGGGTTTAGGGTTTAGGGTTTAGGGATTGGGGTTTAGGGTTTAGGGATTGGGGTTTAGGGTTTAGGGTTTAGGGTTTAGGGTTTAGGGTTTAGGGTTTAGGGTTTAGGGTTTAGGGTTTAGGGTTTAGGGTTGAGGGTTTAGGGTTTAGGGTTTCGGGTTCCTCAACTACAAACCCTAAACCCTACATCCTAGACCCTGGGCCCTAAACCTGGCCCTCAGCCCCAAACTGTGGTTTTTCTCATGATGGTACTTGTTCCAAGTCGGTCTAGGGTTTAGGGTTTAGGGTTTAGGGTTTAGGGTTTAGGGTTCTCGGGTCAGCCAGGTACAACCTCCCTGGCCTGCCAGTGAGAAGTAGTGGGTCGGGGGGCCCCTCCAGCTGGACGTCCGCGCGACTCTTCTGCCGGCGGACGGACCCGTGGCTTTCTTCTGGCTGGATTTAGGACTTTAACCTTTTGGGGTGTAAACCCTAAACCCTAAACCCTCAACCCTAAACCCTCAACCCTAAACCCTAAACCCTAAACCCCAAGTCAGCCGAGGACTTGCTCTCCAACTGCCAGCAGCCCATGGACCCGCATTGCAAGGATGGCGAGGTGGTCAGTGGCATCATCTACGACGACGCTGTAAAGATGAGGCCGGCGCCAGTCTGGAGGTCATGTTTTGCAACCCCAAGCACCCCAAGGCCCAAAAAAACCTTCAACAGAACACCCGAAAAGCCCCTACTTAAAAAAGACCCGAAAAGGCCTAGAAGCCCTAGAAGCCCTAAGAGCCCTAAGCCCGATGAGGGGGGGCACCAGAAGTCTTGTAGGTGCTGTCAGCTGCAGCAGCCTCTCGGTCTGAGATTTCGATCGAACATCCGCCAAAGCAAGCTGTACAAGAGCTTCGAGGGCTACTACTGCCCCACAGCCGTGGATGGAACGGGTGCGCCTTTCTACGCCAGGCGGGGCTGTTTCCGTCTAAGCCTTAGCCTTAGACCACGCAAAACCCTAACCCTCCTGCACCCCACTCCTAACCCTGAAGCCTTGAAAGCCCGGAGGCCTAATTAATTCTAAAGCAATTAAAGCCTTCAATCATCGTCCAGGACGTCGATCGGACCATTGGGAAATCCGGGCGTGGCCCAAGACGCGAACGCCACCCTCAGTTGGAATAAGCGCCACGAGCCGCAGGAACCACTCGGGTTTCGGGTTTGAGCACTTCGTGGTGGCTAGGTTACAACCCTAAACCCCAAACCCAGTCAAGGTCTGAGTTGAAGGGTTCAGGCCTTTGGGGGGGAGTGGGGTATCATGACCCGAAAAGCCTAAGCCCTTTCCACCACTGAACAGACCCAAAACCCCAACCCCTGCAAAAATCTTGACCTGACCTAAACCCTAAACCCTAAGCCCTAAGCCCCAAACCGTAAACCCTACACCCTAAACAAGGCCTCCCCGAAATTTTCCCCGGATCTAAACCCCTAAACCCTAAACCCTAAACCCTAAACCCTAAACCCTAAACCCTAAACCCTAAACCCTAAACCCTAAACCCTAAACCCCAAACCCCAAACCCCAAACCCTCAATCAACCCCTAAACCCTAAACCCTCAACCCCAAACCCTCAACCCCTCAACCCTAAACCCTCAACCCCAAACCCTCAACCCCTAAACCCTAAACCCTAAACCCTAAACCCTAAACCCTAAACCCTAAACCCTAAACCCTAAACCCTAAACCCTAAACCCTAAGCCCTAAGCCCTAAACCCTAAACCCTAAACCCTAAACCCTAAACCCAAGGTGGCTGGCGACCTGGGAGCTCCGGGTCGATGGTGGCGTGGTGGGATCGGCACCCAGCGAGGCAGATGTAGGGGGAGGGCTGACCGAACAAGGGGGTTTAGGGTTTAGGGTTTAGGGTTTAGGGTTTGGGGTTTAGGGTTTAGGGTTTAGGGTTTAGGGTTTAGGGGTGTAGGAGGGAGGGTGTAGGGGGTTTGTTTTTTTGGGGGGTTTTGCGGTTTGGGGGTTGAGGGCATTCGGGGTTTAGGGTTTAGCAGCTCTAAGGGTTTAGAGGTTCGAGTTCCCCCAAACCTCAAAACCCCTACATCCCTAAACCTAAACCCTAAACCCTCAACCCTCAACCCTAAACCCTAAACCCTCAACCCTAAACACCCCGAAATCCCCTGACCTGCCCCGCCGTGAGCCGCAGGTGGTCTTGCCGACTCAGTTGAGTGTGGATGCTCTCGGTACCTTGGTAGGCCCTGGCGATATGTTGTGTTTGCCTTGTTGGGTTGAAGGGTTGAAGGGTTTAGGGTTTGGGGTTTAGGGGTTGGGGTTTAGGGTTTAGGGTTTAGGGTTTAGGGTTTAGGGTTTAGGGTTTAGGGTTTAGGGTTTAGGGTTTAGGGTTTAGGGTTTAGGGTTTAGGGTTTAGGGTTTAGGGTTTAGGGTTTAGGGTTTTAGGGTTTAGGGTTTAGGGTTTAGGGTTTAGGGTTTAATGTTGACTTCACATTAATGATTCCCGCCGCAATTGAAAAATCCAGCTGCCGGAACACAATATTGTAACCCGCCACAATTGTAAAATCCGACCCGGAATATTTTTCTAAAAGTGATCCCCAGAGGCTCGCAGTAGAGGCTCACTTAGCCCACTGTGGTGGCACTGGGACAGCTAGACCTACCAGGATTTAGGCGAACATTATTGAGGAGGCCCTGGCCGGAGAGATTGATCAATGAAGGGGGGGGGGGGTTATTAATGCGAAGTCAACATTAGGGTTTAGGGTTCAGGAATCTTCTTCAGACGGTGTTAAGGGCCATCCTAGGTACCTTCTCAGCAGTTCCAATCCGCCCCCTGACCAGCTTCGGCAAGAAGTCGCGTCTTGCCCCGCCAGCGAGTCGAGCGTGGGGGGATAAGGGTTTAGATTAGTCAGAGCTTTCAGGAGGTTCAGGGTGTTGAGGGGTTTGGGATTTTTGGGGAGGTGGGGTTTGGGTTTAGGGCATTCCGGCTTTGGGGGTTCAGGCTTTCCGCTTTCGTATTGCATGATTCCTGTCGGAACAGAGTCCCCCCGAAACCTCCCTAGACCCTAGACCACAACCCTAAACCCTAAAGCCTTCCTAAGAGCCTGAGAGCCCGGACAAGGTTTGGGAACGCGAAGCCCTGAAGGAAGATCTCAAGTTCCCGCAGTATTGCAATCACAGCTGCCTGATCACCCCCCAAACCTGTGTTAGACTCTGCATGAACCCCGAAACTCTACACCCTGAACCCTAAACCCTAAAACCCTTAGCCCTAAACCCTGATCCCTAAACCCGGATTCCGAAACTCATGTACCGTCCAGTGCCTCACCCTGACACCCAGCGTCCTTGTAGCCAAGGAAACCGACCAGCCCCTTACAGTTACCCTGAGCCCTAAACCCTAAACCCTAAACCCTAAACCCTAAACCCTAAACCCTAAACCCCTTTGAGTACAGTTATCATTGCTTAATATGTACCATGAACCCCCAAGCAGCCAAGGAAGCCAACCAGCCCCTTCCCCAAGCAGCCGCCGACCTACCCCAAGCTGGCTGAGTTCCATGCGGTGCAGCCTGATGCTCGCCTAAAGGTAGGGTTTAGGGTTTAGGGTTTAGGGTTTAGGGTTTAGGGTTTAGGGTTGAGGGTTGAGGGTTGAGGGTTGAGGGTTTGGGGTTTGGGGTTTGGGGTTTGGGGTTTAGGGTTTGGGGTTTAGGGTTTAGGGTTTAGGGTCAACCCATGCCCTATATATAGGTCCCTTCCAGGAAGGAGGTTTCTATAACTGCGTCCCTTTTGCTGTACTGATATGCGCCTTGCAAAAACTTCGGTTGTGAAGTCTGAAGCCTTTGCACCTCAGTCTTGAGAGTCTTTCTCCTGGGAAGGATTTACCCTTGAACTTAGAACCCTGAACCCTTAGACCCTCAAACCCCTCAACCCTAAACTTAAGTCCAAAACCCTTAAACCCTAAAACCCTAAAACCCTTAAACCCTCAAACCCTTGCATCCTTAAACCCGCAAACCCTCAAGCCCTCAAACCCTCGAACCCTCAAACCCTCAAACCCTCGAACCCTCAAACCCTCAACCCTCAAGCCCTTAAACCCTTACACTCTTAAACCCTTAATCCCCTAAACCCTTAAACCCTTCAACTTACTGTTGGCTAGCAGGGAATGAGGGAGTTAGGGCCCTATGTATACTTTAAGGGTTGTATAAACACGAACCACACCCCACATAATAGGCAAAATAATACCAACAATGTTCAAATCAACCTGGGGATTAGGTAGTTTTAGTACTTCCTGTCCTCTTCCCCCATTCCCTGCCAAGAAAATCCTTAAGCCCTTAATCTCCCGAATCCTCGAGAAACTTCGCTGCGGCTAGGGCTTGAAACCCTAAACCCTAAACCCTAAACCCTAAACCCTAAACCCTGAACCCTGAACCCTAAACCCGAAACCCGGCTTAAGCCCTAAACCCTAGGGCCCTGCGACGCCTCAGGTTTGGGATTGAGCGCTCTAAGCCCTCCAAGCTCCGAAAACATGCGGCTTAGGGCTTAGGGTTTACGCAGGGTTTGGGGTTTAGGGTTCAGGGTTGAGGGTGTAGGGTTCCCTAATGCTTTCAACCCTCAACGTTAAAATGCCGAAGTCGCAGTGCCGACGCCAAGGACTACGCTGCCTACTGCGACCCGGTCTTCTTGCAAAACCCCGCGCTCTACTCAGGCACGGGGGGGTCAACACGAACCCTAAACCCCATAAACCCTATAAACCTTATGTACCCTATGAACCCCAAAAACCCTGCAAACCCTATAAACCCTATGAACCCTACAAACCCTCATTATAAGCCCTATGATCCCTAAAACCCATGAAGTCTATAAACGCTATAAACCCTGAACCCCAAACCCAAAGACCCACAAGCGCAGGTTCATGGTTCAAGCGAGTCGAGAGTGGAGTTCTGAGATGGTTTTGAAGTTTCGGTTCTGCGAGATGTGTTCGTTTGGCGGGCCCCAGATCCCAAAACCCCCAAACCTGAGATTGAGGCTTCAGCGGTTCGGGACGTGATTTTCCTGGGACCTTCCTGGGACCCCCCTAGGACCCCCCTGAAACCGCCCTAGGACCCCTCTGATCCCCCTTCCAGGCCTGGTCCCCTGAATTCCTGCGACTTTTTCCCTGACACAGGGTGGCTCTCAGGGGAAACCCTGTTACAACCCCCTGACGGGACGTCCCAAAACGGAAGAAGTTTTTAGAAGTGGACTGCTGCCTTGAGTTTATATAGGCCTAAACCCTAAAAGGAATAGGTTTGGGTGGCTTTGCCGCCTCGGACGACGTGGGGTGGGAGAAAAGTGTTAGATGGCCTTCCACAATCGGGCCAAAGCTGCTCTTTGCGCCTCACGACACTTTCGAGCTTGTTCCAAAGCCTAACCTTCACAAGCATCTACGACCTATCACAGCAAACCCTAAACGCTAAACCCTAAACCCCAAACCCAAACCCTGAACCTCAAGTCTGGGGGCCTTCTGGGTCTCTCAAGCAGGGCCCCTGCTTCGTTCGCAGGCTGGGTGGAGGAGGGGAACCCATGCTACCCTAACCCTAAACCCTAAACCCTAAACCCTAAACCCTAAACCCTAAACCCTAAACCCTAAACCCTAAACCCTAAACCCTAAACCCTAAACCCTAAACCCTAAACCCTAAACCCTAAACCCTAAACCCTAAACCCGAACCCTAAACCCCAAACCCCAAACCCTAAATCCTAAACCCTAAACAGGCTGGGTGGAGGAGGGGAACCCATGCTACCACACCTTCAATGCCGAGAAGCCAGTCCCCGGCTTGCCCAAAGGCATCACAGAGGAGGCCTTAGGGGCCTTTGGGGGGCTTAGGGTTTAGGGTTTAGGGTTTAGGGTTTAGGGCTTAGGGCTTAGGGCTTAGGGTTTAGGGTTTAGGGTTTAGGGTTTAGGTCTGGGGTTTAGGGTTGAGGGTTTAGGGTTAGGCCTTAGGGTTTAGGGTTTAAGGTTAGGGTTTAGGGTTTAGGGTTTAGGGTTTGGGGTTTAGGGTTTAGGGTTTAGGGTTTGGGGTTCGAGGGTTTAGGGAGTGTAGGGCTTGTGGGTTTGAATGTTTCGGGTTTGGGTGCAGGGGTTTAGGGTCTAGGGAAGTTTAGGGTTTAGAGGGTTTAGAGGGTTTAGAAGGTTCAGAGGGTTCAGAGGGTTCAGAGGGTTTAGAGGGTTTAGAGGGTTTAGAGGGTTTAGAGGCTTTGGAGGGTGTAGAGGGTTTAGAGGGTTCAGAGAGTTCAGAGGGTTCAGAGGGTCTTAGAGGTTTTAGAGGGTTCAGAGGGTTTAGAGGGTTTAATTAGGAGGTGCAGGCTCAGCACTGGTCTATGCGTAGGGTAAATTTCGTTCGAACTAGTGAACTGCAAGGGACTTGGGTTTGGATCTCCTACCTGGAGCCAACCAGCCCAAAAAGTCAAGCCTCAACCCGAGCCCCAAACCCTAAACAGCCTAAACCCTAAACCCTGAACCCCAACAAACCCCAAACCCTAAACCCTACACTCTAAGCCCTAAACCCGCCCTAAACCCCGAACCCCTAAACCCCCAAAACTCCTAAACCCCTAAACGCCTAAACCCCTAAACCCCTAAACCCCTAAACCCCTACACCCCTAAACCCCTAAACTCCTAAACCTCTAAACCCCTAAAGCCCTAAACTCCGAAACCTCTAAACCCCTAAAGCCCTAAACCCCTAAACCCCTAAACCCCTAAACCCCTAAACCCCTAAACCCCTAAACCCCTAAACCCCTAAACCCCTAAACCCCCCCTAAACCCCTAAACCCCTAAACCCTAAACCCCTAAACCCCTAAAACCCCTAAAACCCCTACCCCTAAACCCCTAAACCCCTAAACCCCTAAACCCCTAAACCCCTAAACCCCTAAACCCCTAAACCCCTAAACCCCTAAACCCCTAACCCCTAAACCCCTAAACCCCTAAACCCCTAAACCCCTAAACCCCTAAACCCCTAAACCCCTAAACCCCTAAACCCCTAAACCCCTAAACCCCTAAACCCCTAAAAACCCCTAAACCCCTAAACCCCTAAAAACCCCTAAACCCCTAAACCCCTAAACCCCTAAACCCCTAAACCCCTAAACCCCTAAACCCCAAACCCCAAACCCTAAACCCTAAACCCTAAACCCCAAACCCTAAACCCTAAACCCCAAACCCTAAACCCTAGACCCTCAGGATTTCTGGGCTTCTAGCAGCCGAGAGCAACATCGGAACTACCTGTTCTCGGGCGCGGCCTCGCAGCAGCAGAGCCTTGGCGCAGCGAGTGAACCCCTTTAGGGTTTAGGGTTTAGGGTTTAGGGTTTAGGGTTTAGGGTTTAGGGTCCCTTATCATCGTAAACCCCCAAATGAAAAGCATGGAAGTTCCGGGGGTCTGCAGTTTAGGGGTTAGGGTGGAGTGTTTGGGGTTTAGGGGTTTAGGGTGTAGGGTGGGATTTAGGGTTGATTGTTTACGTATGTACCCCACCCATAGGGACTACAGCAGTACACAGGGTACGTGATCCTATGCTCACCCCCAAGGAAGATGGAGAACTGGATCAACAAAGAGATCGCCAAGCCACAGCCTTACATGTGGGGGATGCGCACTGTTTAGGAAGAGGGTTTAGGGCTTAGTCAGGGCTTAGGGCTCACAGGGCTTATAGGGCTTCTAAGGCTTATAGGGCTTATAGGGCTTGTAGGGCTTGTAGGGCTTATAAGGCTCTTCGTTTTTTTTTTTTTTTGGGCTCTTAGGGGCTTGTGCAGGACGCAGGCCATCTTCGACGACGTGGCATTGGCAGCGGCCATCGCCAGCGCCATTCCCTGGGGCAGCTTCGCGGAGAGCGCCGAGAAGGCGAAGACCATCGCCGGCAACGAGGCAAAGGCTGCCCCCCTGGAGTGCAGGTAGTGCCCTTATGTCCTTGTGTTTTTTTGTTTTTTTTTTGGGGGTGGGGAGGGGGGCTGGTTTCTTTTTAGCCCTAAACTCCAAACCCTAAACCCGAAACCATAAACCCCCAACCCCAAACCCCAAACCCCAAACCCGAAGCGGTAAACCCTGAACCCTGA